TGAAGAATCTCAAAATCGGTCTACTGAGTTTAATGGGAACATAGTTCAGTTTAGGGTAACAAAAAAGTTCTGGAGATGGATAGTGGTGAAGCTTACACAATGAAAATGTACTTAATGCCACTGAATTGTACACTTAAAAACAGTTAAATGATACACCATATGTTATGAATATCTTACCACAATTAAAAAGAAAAGTTTAAATCAATATGTTGAGTTAAAGGAGCCAGACCTAAAATAGTACCATATCCTATGGTCCGGTTTATGATAAAATTCTAGGAACTGCAAACTAATCTATAGTAACAGAAAATAGATCAGTGGTTGCCTACATCTGGAGATAAAAGGAGAGATGGTTTGTAAAGGGACCCAAGAAAAGTTCTGGGGTGACAAAAAAAAGTTCTGCATGTTGGCTGTGGTAGTGTCATAGGAATATACATCTGCCAAAAGCAATCAAATTATATATTTCAAATCAATTTAGTGTACATATGTAAATTAGAACTTTTTTTTTTTTTTGGAGAGGTTTTCGCTACAGGGTGCCTGTGCTCGCCAGACAGACAGAGAGAGACATAGAGACAGAAAGTGAGAAATCACCCCCCAGAGGGGATGGTCATGGGCAATCCCTTCTCCTCCATTCTCCTTTCGGGATCCTGGGCACGCACGCACACGCGCTCGGCGTGAGTTTTAAGCCCCCGGGTCCAGGACGCAAACCGTGGTCGACTGCGTGGGAGTCCAGCGACATAGCCATTACGCTAACTGCTGGTTCCCATAAATTAGAACTTGTGTGTATGTGGGAACCTAACATGATAAAAGTTGCTCCACAAAAAAAAAAAAAGGGGGGGAATAATATACTATTTTAATACATGATTTGAGGGGACCAGGAATTAGTGTAATGGCTATGTTGCTGAACTCCCATGTAGTCGACTGCGGTTCGAGTCCTGGACCCGGTGACTTAAACTCACACCGGGCGCATGTACATGCGTGCCCAAGATCCCGAGAGGAGAATGGAGGAGAAGGGATTGCGGCGTGGCCATCCCCCCTGGGGGGTGATTTCTCACTTTCTATCTCTCTGTCTCTCTGGCGAGCGCACACACCCTATAGCAAAAACCTCTCAAAAAAAAAAATATGTGATTTGAGAAAACTCTCACAAATAGAAAGGAAAACATTAAGCTAGATTCTTTCCTCATGCCAGATACAAAGATGAACCTTAAATAGATTAAAGTCCCCAATGCAAAAGGTAACACTGAAAAGCTGATAAAATACAGAATACCTTCTATCTTGATGTGAGGTAGGCTAATATAAGACTTCTAAATGGCAACATAATGCAAAAATTAATGGATTTGGGCTGGATCACAACTGAAAATTTCTGCACAATATCACTGACAGAAGTTAATCCACAGACAGGATAAGATGAATATCCAGGATATGCAAAATAAAAATCTATAGATCAAATGTTAGAAAGGCAGCCTAAGACTGGTTAAAGATATCATAATTGATAGCAAATACATTTAAAAAGGTCCCATTCACTATGAAATGAAATAAATTCACATGAAAAGAATGAACTCTCACTTCATAGCTACCAAATAATGGTAAAATTAGAAATACAGAATATTGAGCGTTGGGGAACTGAGGACTGGCATGGTAGCAAATCAACTCAGTAACTCTGCAGGGTACTTGGACAGCATTTATTGATAGTAAAAACAAGTATGCTTGTGACCAGCAGATGGCACAATGGTCACAACACTGGGCTCCCACATAGCCGACTGTGGTTCAAATCCCAGACCCAGCAGCTTAAAACTCACCCCAGCTGCATGTGCGTGTGTGCCCAAAATCCCGAGAGGAGAGTAGAGGAGAAGGGACTGTGGTGTGGCCATTCCCCTTGGGGAAGGGGGGATTATTTCTTACTTTCTCTCTCTCTGTCTCTGTCTCACTGGTGAGCACATGTGCCCTATAGTAAAAAATCTCTCTAAAAATCAAATAAAAAAACCAACAAATATGATTAACTCTATAACCCAGCCATTCCACTGCTGGGAGTATACCCTTAGAGCAGCAGTTCTCCAACTCTCCCACCCATCAGAGTGTCCAGGCTGGGCATTATGACACAGGTCAATGGGGTTTTCCCCAAGGTCACCACCCTCCAGGGTTTCTAATTCTGGAGGTTTGGGTTTGGCTGAAAATCTGCATTTCTAACAAGTTCCCAGGATGCAGATGAGACCACATCTTCAGAACCACAACCCCAGAGAAGTTCTCACACAGACCACTTGGGAAAGCAGGAAGGAGAGTGAGGTAAGCAGCTATCACTAGGTAGAAGGGTAAGTAACTATAGTAGACACCTATCAGACCAGCCCTACACTGGATAGACCTACACCGACACAAACCTCCCAGATAAAATGTTGAAAGAAAGTCTCTTGAATTTCACAACTGTCTGAAATTGTCCGTAATAAGTTTTAATGGTGACTGACCATGAACTAGAAATGAAACCTATAAGTACCACTTACATAAATGCAATACACACTAAATCACTAAATGCCTTTATAAGGATACATACATACCCACAAACACATCCAACACCTGAGAGGCAGCTGAGACGCAGCAAGGGCAACAGAACAGGAATGAAAGAGAAAAAAAATAAAATGGGGCAGGGGTGGTGGTGGGGGGTGTCTCTCCATAGCAAGAGCTCCTGGGCCGAGAAACGTGAACTCCAGCACCAGGAGTCTAAAACACAAAAGCCACGCAAGCTTTCTCAAGCTCTCCCCAAAGCTTTCCATCATCATGGTAACAGATCTGCCGCCACTGAGAGTAGAAGGGACTCTCTGAAATACAAACACGGGGTGATTTCAGGCCCCCAGAATCCAACCTGCTACTGAGCCCTAAATCTTCCTTTTGACATGTTCGTTTAAAAAGAAGCTGGGGTTCTTGGCTTTTAGTAAAGGGTGTGTGCATTTCAGTCTCTGGGTATCTCTTTCTCTGGTGTCTGTGTCTATCTCTATGGATCTATGGGCGTGTCTCTCTGTATTTGCGTGTGTCTGTGTGTGTGGTGTGTTTATCTGTGGAGATAAGAAAGACTGGAGAAGAGAACAGAGCATTCCAGCACAGCGGGAACCAAGCTTGGTTCCAGGGACACCAGCAGACACAGAGACAAACCCAAGCTCTCTGCCTGGGCCCCACCCCCCACCTCCCTTCCCGGCCATTATCCCCCACCCACCCCCACACCAAGGCTGCCTCTCCAAGTGGGCTCATCCAATATATGCTCCTCTTGTGACTGCCATACCTTAATTACAATGACAAATTTGACAACAAAGCTGTGTCAAGTGTTAAAAAAAAAAAAAGTGCCAAGTGGATGCAGGCACTGATGCGTGTACCTTAACAATGTTGAAGAAAACTTCAGTTTCAGACCTAAAAAACAGATGAGGACCATGGCAAATACTGATAAACTCCTGTTTTTGTTATGCATTTGATGAGTACTACAAGTTAGGGACTGTGCTAGGGATCCTCTGATGAATACAGTGGTTTTAATAACTGTGTCCCTTTCCTATCAGTTTAATCCATCCTTTAAAATTTCTTTTAAAGAAACAAAGCTTCCAGATATTTGAAGTAGATCAGTCTCAGAAGAGCTGAGGAAATACATTTAACAATTTTACTAAAGCCGTACATTTCTAGCCTAGCGTCCGAAGTAAGCACAGACAGAAGGGAAGGACTATTTCACTCTCTCCACGTCGCTCTCACTTTCTGCACAAGGTCTAACTACTTCAGCTGCGTGCTAGCAGCTCCCACCTCCTGCTCCACAGCGGGACACAGAGGGAGAGACTCAAACCCATGCTGCATGGTTAAAGAGAGGCAGCGAGGAAACTCCAAGTACCAGGGCCTCCACACCTAGACAGGAAGCAAGAGGAGCAGTGAGCGGCTGCGCGCACCGGCAGCTTCTGGAGGTTCCCCCAAAGCTGGCGCCTCCAGAGCAGGCGCAGGCGGCTCGCTTGCCCGCCCTCGCAGGGCCAAGGCACGGCTTCGGAGCTGGAAGGCTGCCACCTGCTCGGTCACCAAACATCCCTGGGCTTCCCTTGGAGCACGGACCAGACAGGCACCCATCCCCCGCCGGCTTCTCCCGTGGACAGTTTACACCCCAGCCAATGAAATGCCGAGCCCTCTCCCCTTCCGCACAGCCCAGAACCGACGCCAACCTCATTACGTCTGGGCAGCCCTAGGCAACTCCTACCATGTTCTACGTCACCAGTCCCACTCCTCTCTTTCTGCCCACTCGGTCCCACCCCTAACGTTCAACCCCCAGAGCCAGAAGCGTGGGGAGTTCACAGCACGCCAGGACAGGCATTCACTGCTTCCATATCCAGGCCGCCAACCGGAAACACCCCCAAATCCGAAAGCAAAATAACCTGTCCAAACAGCTTTCTAAAGGTCCAGGAAGGTAAATGTCGACGGAGCTAAAATAGCAAGCAGGCCCCAAAACATCGAAAATAAACTTCCCTTTCAGAAAGCAGCCTTCACTCTTGGTTTCATAAGCGGGTGCCGCTGGTCTGTACTGTTTGAAGGTGAAAAGAAACATTTGAGAAGCACCTGCCTGGTTCTCCTGGCTCCCTCCCACCGTAGTAACGCTCACCTCGATTTTTATTTGCAACACCCAAGAGGGATACAGTCGTTAACCAGAACGCCCTCAGCTGAATCCGTTAGCTGGACCAGGGACCCTACTTGGCTCACCAGAGGAAGCATCAAGCCCCAGTTTAGGTTAAGACGGGAGGGGGGGGCGCTGCTGTCGCTGCTTTGCCCTTGACAAGTCGCTTTGGGCTCGCGCAGACCCCCTCACTCCCAAGGAGAGCTGCATCCTGGAGGGACTGTCCAGGTCCCGGCTGCGCAGATGGCCCCTGCAGGCCCAACCCCCCGAACACCCCCTGCCGGCTGCTGGGTCTCAGAGCCGCCCGCGAGTCTGGGGGCTGTTCCCCAGCCTGCCTAGGGGAAAGGCGCACGCTCTAGGGGGAGAAGGGGTCCCACCTGTTATGTCGTCAGTGCACATCGCGGGGGCTGCAACAGACGGATCCCGAAACGGTGGGCGATCTGGCCCCGAGGTATCAACTGTCACGCAGCTGCCTGGGCTGTAGGGGTGGGGCGGTGATTTGGGGTTGTCCTCTGCGGGTGTCCGGACTCGACAGGGTACTGCCTGAAGGCACCTCACCTCGGGGTTCTCTGGCCCCGCCACCGTCCGCTTGCACCAATCCGACACCAGGCACCCTTGCAGCCAGCACGCAGCACCTCTGAAAAGGTGCCTACTGACGCCCCCGCCTTCCTCCCCGCCCCAACTTGGCCGGAGAGCCCGGCCGGCGGCCCGCCCTCTCGGAG